TAAAAAAAAACCATAACATGCTGATAATATTTTTTACATGCTTATTTTTATATTAAAAGCACACGATTATTGATTCATATTTTTAAAAAATAAAAACATTTCATGTTTTTTAATAAATTGAAAAGTGTTGAAAAAATAATTTAAATTTCAAATAAATCGAATAAGTAAAAATTTAAAAAATTATTTTAGAAATTTGTAATATTTTAGATATTATTTTTTTTTATAAATTTTTATCAATTTATTTTGTAATTCTTTTTATTATGTAATTTTTTTTATTGTTGTAATTTTTTTATTATGTAATTTCTTTTGTTTTTTATTCATATTTATATATTATCTATAATAATTAATTTTTTAAAAATTTATCATAAAGTATAATGTGAGTTGTCAAAAAGTGTAGTATGAGTTGTAAAAAAGTAGGAGTGCTTATAAGCAATTGTCATTGGAGCAAAAATTGTAAAAATATAGTATGAGTTGCTTATGAGTGACGTGGCACAATGGGACCCATTTAAAGTGGTTGGGAGTTGCTTATATGCAACAAGAATGATTTTCTCTTTGGTAACCAAATAATTAAACTTGGTCCTTTATCATTAATTTTAAAGATTCTTGATGGTCTATTTTTAGGAAAATGACGTCTGCACTTGGGCATTACTTGTCTTGTTTTTTACCTAGAAATAACAAATGGTGATGACTGACTCGTCATGAACAATCTTTTTGCCATTGAATCCATAATCAAACTTGTAATGAATAAATCTTTTGTATCTCAAGATCTTATCCAAGTTTTTAACACCTTGGACGAACATGAATAAATTGATCTTAAGGGAATCCACTTTATTCTTAAGTTTATCAATTTCGTTTGGAGGTTCAACTAGAATAGATTTTTCAAGAGTTGTTTCAAGAACTTTTACATTCCTCTAAAAGATTACAACACCAAAAATAAATTTTTTTTTTGGCAATTTTTATGTTATTTAACAACCATATAAATGGTCATTAATATCTATACTGACAATTAGATTATGGCCAGCATATTTCGAGTCAGTAAAACTATTAGTGGCATTTAAAGTAAGTGTTGGTAAAGACTTTTTAAATGACTGGGAAAAATAAAATTTTTTAATAACAATTCTAGCAACAATTTTAGTGATCAATAAAAGTAATTTCATTGAATAATGGATTCTCATATATGTAAAAAAAAATTGTATAGAAATACAATTGAATTTCATTCGATGAAATAATTTATTTTGATAGCGTATTGATACTTAATTAGTTAAATTCAATTAAATAAATTTATTTTTAGTCCATGCATTGAAATTGATGAGGGAATCAAATTCAATTTTTCATCCATTGATTTTTTTTTTTAAAAAAATTACTTTCTTTACTAATATTCTCATCCACCATTTCTCATAAAGATAATGAGAATAATAAATTTTTTTTATATGAGAATTGCATATTTGCAATAACACCAGATGGCCATTTATTAGAGTAATGCAAAACTTATGAGTTTATCATGTCCTTGAGATACCAAGGAAATCATTGAAAAGAAAAAAATGAATAGTCAATGATGTTATGATTCAAAGAAATTACATAATTTCATTTCTAAGATAGTCATATCTCCAAAGAAAGCAAGGTCTCTGATGATCTGGTGTTATTTGCTAAAATGTCTAAAAGGTCTTCATCAATTACAATTGAATTCTACAGAGCACAAAATAAAAAAATGGACGTCACTGCATATATGTATTCCAATAATTACTATAAGAAAGGACCAATAGAAAAGGCAACATAGTCTACCTCCTGGACTACTGGTTCTCAGTTCCTATAAGCAACATAGTCTACCTCCTAATTTCTTGAGATCAAAATTAATGATTCAATTATGTATTATACAAGGAGAATAAAGTGTGGAATTCATGAATATATATATATATATATATATAGCAAACAGAATTCATGAAAAAATTATTGGTACACAAATAGATAAATTGGACTAATTTACTTAACACAATGTCTAATACATAACCACCATTCATGGACTGATTGGCAATTGCCTCTACTGCTAGTATGCAAATAATTTCATCATTATCTTTTCTAAGAAGCTTGAGCAAGGAAGTGAGGCCACCAACTTGAACAATACTTTTTTTGTTAGCCTCTACATATTATAATAAATCAAATTACTTTGCATGGCTTGGACCAAGCTTTTGTCTGATAGGGCTTCGTCTGTGGTTTTTGGTTTAATTTGAGACAGTAGAGCAATTTGTGCTTGAGTTTTGAATGAACTTCTCGTCCTCACTGCATCTTTTGCTTAGCCAATGATTTGATCTTGAGGATGATGTGCTTTCATCTGCCAATTTCAACTTACAGGCTCTCTTTCCTCTTTATCATCTTGTTGAGTTTCAATTCTTCCAGACTCATCTTCCTTTGATTGATTTTTGTTTACCTGCATATTTTCAAAGAAGGTTCCAAGCTCTGATATTTCTTTATCAGGCTTGTTTTCGTCAAACTTAACATGAATGGCTTCTTCAACAGTTTTGGTTCTATTGTTGATGACTTTGTAGACTCTCAACCTTTCAGAGTATCCAAGTAGGATACCTTCATCGATTTTTGAGTCAAATTTTCCTAGGTTATATTTATTGTTTAAAATAAAGCATTTGCATCCAAATGGATGAAAGTATGAAATGTTGGGTGCTCGTCCCTTCCATAGTTCATAGAGAGTTTTCTTCAAAATAGGCCTAAGATATACTCTATTTTGTATATAGCAGGACGTATTAACTGCTTCTGCACAGAAGTGTTTGGGAGTTGAAAAATCGTTTAGTAAAGTTCTTGCCATTTCTTGTAAAGAGCGATTCTTTCTTTCTACAACTCCATTTTGTTGTGGAGTTCTAGGAGTTGAAAAATTATGTTTAATTCCATTTTCTTCACAAAAATCTTGAAATTGCTCGTTTTCAAATTCTCCCCCATGATCACTTCTTATAGACGCAATTGATATTCCTTTTTCATTTTGAACTCTTTTACAGAATACATGGAATACCTTGAAAGACTCATCCTTGTGGGTTATAAACAGCACCCATGTCCATCTAGTATAGTCAGCAACAATGACTAGTCCGTATCTTTTACCACTAACGAATGCAGTTCTAGTGGGACAAAATAGATCTATGTGGAGCAGTTCAAGGGGTCTCGAGGTGGAAACATGATGTTTACTTTCAAAAAAACTTTTAACTTGTTTCCCCTTTTGACATGCTTCACATATGCTATTTGATTGGTATGCAAGACTCGGTAGACATCTTACGAGGTTATGTTTTTTCAGCTTTGAGATTAATCTCAGGCTTGCATGACCAAGATTCTTGTGCCATAGCCACTGGTTTTCATAAGATACTAGACAATCAATATTTTGATCTTCTAGTTCATTAGGCATTATTTTGTATAAGTTATTGCATCTGTTAACTGTAAACAATATAGACGAATCAGTTTGACTAACAGTACATTTATTTTTGTTGAAGGAAATTTCGTAACCGCTGTCGCATAATTAACTTATACTCAGCAGGTTATGTGTTAATCCTTTAATGTATAGGAAATTATCAATGGTGATAGAGGAATTTATACCTATTTTACCTATTCCCATGATTTTTCCATTCTGTCCTCCTCCAAATGTGACTAGGCCTCCTTTCTTAGATCTGAGGTCTAGGAACATAGACCTTTCGCCTGCCATGTGTCGCGAGCAGCCACTGTCCAGGTACCATGACTGGATACTTCCTTTTCTTGTTGAACAAATTTGCAATAGGTATTATCTCAGTCTTTGGTACCCAAATGGATTTGGGTCCATATATGTTAGTGTTTGAGGTTTTGGAATACCCTTTCTTCTGCATGTGACTGCACTTTGATGTGAAATGCCCATTATGTATAGGATATGCAGATGTACTTGCTTTGTTTACTAATCCAGAATCAACATATCCTAGCCCAGACTTATCATTTTTACTTTTGGAATATTTTAAAAGATTTTC